TAGAAAGATGTTCCACCATCAGATGTAGAAACATGTTCCACCATCATGTAGAAAGATGTTCCACCATGCTGGATGTATCTCCAACAGCTAGCTCCTCTGTTCTCTGGTTCTGAGCCGTGCTGCGTTTGTTTATTGACCTTTAAGTCTGAATTTCTCTAGATTTACTACAAACTTGTTCAAAATGACTCAAAATTTGTTCAGTGTCACAGTTTCTGAGTCTTTATGAAGATCTTAAGTCCTTACGGATTGTTTTTTTGTCTTTTTGAACAAGTTTGACTTTATTTCTGGATCAGACTTGTTTTGGTTACCAAGAGACGTCGCCATCGAGGGACAGGAACCGTGAACTTTTAGGAACCGTGAACTTTTAGGAAACGCAGCGACAAGAGACGACTTCATTCAACAAATAAAACACATGAACAGAAACAGAAAGTGAAACTAAAGTTCCAGCGAACATCAGAGCGTCTTGGTTCTCATCGCCGGCTCCTCGGTTCCTCACCTTCCTCCTGCAGCTGAGCCCTCCGGGTCTCGAAGCCTTTCTCGTTCCTCACAGAACAGTTGAACTCCTTGTTCAGGTCCTCGGACAGGAAGTCCTGGATCAGCAGGACGTTCTCCATGGTCCGGTCCCCGTAGTCGTACTTCACCTGGCTGCGGGCGTTTCAAAATAAATTCATGTCAAAAGATTCTCAAACTCATCGTCATAAATTAATTCTTTGTCTTTCTGCTCGTCCTGAGTTTCTGTCGATCTGCTTTGCATTTGGTTTTTTGAGTCTTTGTAGTTGTTTAGAACGTTTTTCTTGTCGTCTTGTGCTTCTTTCTGTAGTTTTGCGTCTGTTTTTGGTAGTTTTGTGTCTTCTTGTTGTTATTTTGCATCTATTTTTGGATATGTTGCAAGTCTTTATGGTCTTTTTCGTCTCTGTATGGTCGTTTCTTTGAGTCCTTTTAGTTCCTGAGTGTGTTTTTCTAATTATCTTGTGTTTCTTTCTGTAGTTTTGTATCTGTTTTTGGTAGCTTTGTGTCTGGTCGTGGTTGTTTTGCATCTATTCTTGGACATGTTACATTTCTTTATGGTAATTCTTGGTCTTTTCTGGTAGTTTTTCATCCTTCTCCGGTTATCCTGTGTTTCTTTCTGTTGTTTCACATCTGTCTGTGCTTGTTTGGTCTGTCTTTTTGTGTCTCTGCAGTACGGTGGCCCAGAAGTGTCAAAACAAAAGCCACACCACTACAAAACAAGCCGCTGACGCTGAATTGCGTTTTAGATCCACAAAATGCAAATGTGACGCGTGTTCTGTGCACCTGTTGTTTTGTGAGAACCGCTGGTCGCCCAGCTTGTCCAGCGTCTTCCCGTCCACCGTCCACCACATCTCCCAGGCCGGGTTGTGCTGGATGATGGGGAAGTGGCCTCTGCAGACCAGACGGACCTCCGAGCCTGAGGAGCAGAAGAACCAACCGGAGCAGAACAGTCAGAACATGAGCCGCCGCTCTTCAAACATTCATCAGGCAGAGTGCAGCCGGTCGAGCTGCTGCAGCCGACTGTGAACGGACGGTTCAACCCGCCGGACGCTGAACCTCCTGCGAGCTGCTGAGACCGTTTAGAGGCTGCTGGCAGACGAAGCTCCGTCTCAGTTTAATGTCCCGATGAGCTGCAGGTGAATGAGGTCGAACAGAAAGCAGCTGAGGACACGTTGAGGTGCAGCTTTGTGGAGTTTTACAAACAGTAATTTGTTCTTTCACAATATTTGAGCATAAAATGAAACTTAACGTCTGACTGAAGTGAAATTAGATTCTTTCATGTCAAAGTGAAAACAGGTTTCTACAAAGTTTATGAAAAATATAAAGTATGAAACAAGTCATAACATCAGTAACACCTCCTTCCTGTCAGTGTTTAGAAGATGAACCTTTAGTTCCATCACTGATCCTGTTGGTCTCCATCAGTCTGAACATCTGGACAGTTTCACCTCATTGTTCTGATAAAACTGTTCAGACTCTGTCNATAAGGACTGAAAAATGGTGAATTATATATATATATATTTAAACTTATTTCACAGATTGAAAAATATCTGTTAAAACCACAGAATTAGAGTATTAATTTGCATGAAAAATGAAAACAAAAAACAGGTCAGTACTGTAAATAATGTTCATGTCAAAAATCTGTATTTTCACAAACAGCAATTTATACTTTTACAGCATTTGACCTTAAAAATACAGTTTTACTGTATTTAAACAATTAAAATAATCTTATTTTACAGACATAGCTTCTATTTAAAAGTAAATTTTGAAGGTTATATTACGTTCTGCATAAATAACCACCAAGTCCTCGCCCTGTTGGACTTTTCAGGATTAACTGTATAGAAAAGATGTTTTTACTGTGACGTCGTCCATATTATATGTATATATAAAATAACAGCACGTTAACGTCCCTTCCATCACAACGGGCTATAAACTGGTTGCAAAACTGATTTCTTACCTTCCAGGCGGCACAAATCTGCTCAAATCTGCCTTTTAAAAAAGAAAATGCAGAAACTAAAAACATGCAGGCGATAAACCGTTTTTAAATATTAATTTTCAGTCCAAGAGTATGAAGTAAAACGTTCAGCAAAAGTTCAGCCTGTCAGTTGACTTTGTTAAGACGCCAAACTTTACTCATGTGAATAATATGCTGCTGTGATGTCGGTGCAAATACGTGTTAATGAACACCAGAAGTTTTAACTCCAGGAGTTTGTGCAAACAATGTTTTCAACCATTTGTGACTCGTGATCCTCATTTTATGTGTTTGTGTTATGAAAATGGGAAACGTGAAATGAATAATGATGGTGACATCACATTAAATGAAAAATTTATTTAAAAAAAACAAAAAAACCCCAAACACAAACCCCCAAAAGATTAAACATTTTACAAACTTTAGAGCATAACAAAGTGCAGGATGCTTTTTCCCCATTAAAATCCAGATTTTATGAAGTGTTAGATATAAACAGATTATTACAGAAAACTGAGTTATTGCAGATATACTGAACGTTTACAGTGAAAACAGTGACCAAAAGCAAAGTGCAGTGTAACCGCAAATCTTTAAAGTACTGATTAGATTATTTTTACTGTTTTCTTTAAAAAAAAACCCCTAACCTGCAGTGCATGAATCCCTCTGACACATTTTATAGCTGTGATGCTTCTATATAAAATTATGAATCCTCCTTTATGCAGATGACACCCTGCTTTACATCTGTGCTTTGTTTTTTTTTTTTAATGGAATGATTCCCCAAAATATTTTCTTACTGAAGTTAAACAACCACCACAGCTGAGTATTAAAGTGTATTATAATGCAGTTCTTCTTCCAGCCACCAGGTGCTGCAATGAGTAAAGACAGACGATTGAAGTGAATGAATTTCACTTTGCCCTAAAGATGCAATAAAGTACAGCGTTTCCCACCATTAAATTATCAAACAATATAAACAATTAAAAAAAAAATACTGTATTCGGGACAAGACTTTCTGCAAAAGGTGATACATTCAGCTACAGGTGTAGCTTTAGGGGTGTAAATGCTGCTCGATGGTCCAACACTTAAAGATTTCTTGGCATCTATTGGAAGGATTGAGATGAAACTTTCCGCAGACATTCATGGTTCCCTGAGGATGAGTCCTGCTGACTTCAGTGATTCCACCAGGCCAAAATGCCCTGTTTTTACCTGTAAAATTAGTAATCGGATTCCTTACAGTCGTAGATATCCTCTCCAGCACAGTACCAACATAACTTTAGCCTTAATGGACTCATGACGTCCTCAGATTTCTAGCAATGCGTCTTAGTGTCTGATGATTTATTTTAGCTTTGACTGACAGGTGTCTCAGCCAATGAGCTCAGTCCTTGTTGCACGAATATTAAGAAGCAAAACCAAATGCAAAGGACCAGTAAACAAAACACTGTAGCCGACTTCCTGAAAGCGCTGAACAAACAAGCAACATAGAAATATAGTGATAAGGATCAACCGATAGTGTGCAGATGCGGTGATTTATAACAATGATGCTGATAACAAGAGACCAGTTAACACTGAAGCTGAGTTATGGAACGTTAGTCTTTTTAACTTCCTTTCTAATGTCTTAAACGTCTCCCAGTCCGACCAACACTTGGGAACTGGACGACCATGAAATGTTCTGACCCATCCTCAGGTCAAACGTTTAGTTCCATGACCGGTAAATGTGAGATATTGTAGTTGTAACTTATGTACCGTGTAGCGGATGCAACATTAGCATGCTAGTTAACAACATTGTTTATGTTAACTTTGTAGCTATGCCAGTAGCGCTGATTCAAGGATTTAAAGGTATTATGTAGGTATATAAGTTATGTGTTATGAGAAATTAGTTGTCGTTAGCTTGGTTGAAATGTTTTGACTCCAAAACAAAAAAAAAGAAGCTAATAGCATGTTAGCGTGTTGATATGAAAATGCGTGATTACCCTCTTGGAGCTGCTAGCGTGGCGGTAAACTTAAGCCTCCTTAATGCTTTGTTCTGATGTTGAAACTGAGTCGAAAGAGATCGCAGAGGGTGTCACTTAAACATGAAAACCGGATCTTTTTGTCGACTGGTTCTGCCACAGATCCCTGACGGAACCTAAAACTAACGTTGGATTTGTCGGGTGTTTCTGTTTGAAGGTCTTTGTGAAATGCTTTGAGCTGATGAATGTCAATCAGGAACCGTAAAGCTACATGATGCTAACAGCAGCGCCGTCGACGCTACGCCGCACAGTTCAGAACCTTCTGCGGGTCTTTGACGGTGTTGCTGATGAGGCCCGTCTGGGAGTTGGTGCTGTTCTGACTGTGAAGCCTCATCAGAATCGCCTCCTTACTGCTCCCCTCCTCCTCCTCCTCATCCCCCCGGCTGACCCGCCTCACAGGCAGCTCCACCCTCAGCCTCTTCCAGAACCGGGACGTCAGCTCCCTGGACTTGTCCCCCTGCCACCGGACCAGCGCCAGAGCCACCCGGGCCCTCCTCAGCTCCCGGACCCAGCCCTGCCTCTGCACCGGCTTGTACTGGACCAGGATGACCCGCAGGTGTCCGCCCAGCGCCATGCCGTCGATGCCGGCCTTCAGCTCCAGCAGCGTCTGGGAGCCCTGCGAGGCGTAGCCCGGACTCACCACCACCAGGAGGCGCCGGCTGCGGGCCACGAAGCTCAGAGTCTCGTCGGTGATGGCTGCAGAAAGACGGCAGGTCAGTACTGCAGGAGTACTACAAGTACTGCAGTAGCTGGAACAGTAGGAGTTGCAGTAGTGGCTGGAGGAGGAGCAGCAGCAGCAGTAGGACTGGTCGAAGTAGAAAGAGTACACGTAGTAACGCCAGAAGAAGCAGGAGGACGAGATGCAGTAGCAGAAGTTAGAGTACTAGCAGTAGTACTTGTGGATGAAGTATTCGTAGGTGTAGGAAGAGCAGTAGTAGGAGCAAGAGAAGCACTCGAAAGAGTACCAGTGGTAGTAGTAGCAAGAAAAGTACTGCAAGTACCGAAATAGCTGATGTAGAAGCAGGAGATGTAACAGTAGTACTGAGTGTAGGAGGAGTGGTAGCAGTTGTAGTACTAACATAACAGGTCGAAGTACAAGAATATTCAACAGAAGGACAAGAAGACGGATAAGTAGCAGAAGAAGTCGTAGTAATACCATCTGTAGTACTGAAGTATTAGCAGGAGTACAAGATGAGACTAGAAGGGTGAAGAGCAGTACTACTAGAAACGGCACACGTAGTAATGGACTGTAGCAGTAGTACAAAGAGGAGGACAAGTACTGTAGTAGCTGATGTAGTAGCAGAGGTACTGACTAGGAGTTGGAGCAGCAACAATACTGGAGTTAGGAGCAGGTACTAGAAGCTGTAGTAGTACCAGTGAGTGTGTACGGCAGTGGAAGTGTACACTGAAGTATTACTGTGTAGTACTGCAGTATTCCTGTGTAGTACACTGTGTAGTACTCACTCCCTCCAGGCAGGCTGTCTCTGTCGTAGATGCACACTGAATAGCCCAGCTCGTTCTCCAGAACTCCTCTGAGCGTGGACAGAACAAACTGCTCCTCTTCACTGTTCCTGGCGTACGAGATGTAGACGTCGTACTCCTTATCGTCTGCACACACACACACACACACACACACACACAGGTCATTGATTGATTATTGATTATAGACAAACGTCATTTCCACGTTTATCAGATCGATACCAACTTTCTGCCTCTTTATCGGTGCGTTCACAAACATCCTGTTTATAGAGAAAAACCTCAAAGTGAACTTTCTTTAATCTGTATTTAAACGTGACTAAAATGACACCATGTGACTCCATTTAAAGCTGTTTTATGGTTCTTACAGTTTTTTAATATATTTTCTCAGCTTTGACTGTTTTTACAGATTTTTATTTTTTTTACAGTGTAAATGATTAATTGCAGTATTATTGCTGCTCGTCCTCACTCCCAGGATTACATCAATGGGTTCATGTTGTAATAAAAACAATAGCTGCAGATGTTCCACCACGTTGAACAACCGGCTCCTCTGTTCTCTGGTTCTGAGCCGTGCTGCATTTATTTATTCATCCAGAATGATTTATTTTCCTCTCAGACGATCTAAAACTGTCCAAAATGACTCAAAAGCATGTTTAAAACAACCTGAAACTGGTCCAAAGTAATATTAAACTGTCCAAAATGACAAAAAATTGCCCCAAATAACTTGAAATTAGTTTAAAATGATAATGTTTGAGTCACTAAGAACAATTGTGACTAATTTCAGGCAAGTGTTTTGTGTTTTTTGTGTGTCTGCTTCTGCTTTCTCAGCCTAAAATCATGCAAAAATGATTTGAAACTTGTCCAAAGTAACATTAAATTGTTCAAAAACGAGTCAGAAATGGTCCAAAATGACCTTAAACTAGTTCAAAATGATTCAAAATTAGTTAAAAATTACACTTTTTGAGTCATTATGGAGCATTTCATTCATTTTGGAGAATTTCTCGTCCAGTTTTGAGTCAAGATGTTCCACCATCAGCTGGATGGATCTCCACCAACCGGCTCCTCTGTTCACTGGTTCTGCTGCGTTTATTTTAACAGTCAGTCGTCACTCGTGTAAATGATTGAAGATGCACGATAACGTTAATGTGAAATAATCAGATTGTGTGGTTGATCTATTACGTCTATGACAGAGTTCACGTCTAAAAACTGTGTTAGATAAGTTATAAGATCACTTTAACACAGAAAAACACATTCAGATAAGAACAATGATCTGTGACTCAACTCAGGTGGAGCTTTCTGACTGTAACACACCAGACACCAGATCAGGAGGTTTCTGTTGAGCGTGAAGCTGAGCAGCAGCAGCACGTCTTCTGGTTTCACAGCAGATTCAATCTCTCACCGAGCTGCTTGAATTTAAAGTTTAATAATCTAAATGCTCCGGCTGCAGCCAGACAGAACGGAACCGACCGTAACCGGAGAAATTTAGTGTCGGGACGTAAAAAGCGACAACTTTACGGCTTAATGCCTTTCTGTAATCAGAGCAGAGAGCTGCTGCGGTCGCCGGTCCGGGCCGCCGCTGGAGGTGGACTCACCTGTGTGGCGCTCGTCGGTGCCGAACCAGGACCGGTAGAGCAGCAGCAGCTCCAGCCAGAACACGTGGTAGACCACGAAGAGCAGCAGCATCAGCACCAGGGTGACGCCGAGGCCACAGCCGAGCTCCACCGACGGCAGCGACACTGAAGACACAAAAAGCACAAAGTCAGACAAACTGGAAGCATGTCGTCTCCACATGCTGCAGATGTTTATCTACATGTGTCCAAAGTCACTGAAAAATGACCTCAAACTAAGAAGAACACTCTCCAAAATACTTGAAGTAGGCTAAAAATGTCTGGAAATCTATTAAAATCACAATTTTTAAGTAATTACAGACAATATAAATGATTTTGGACACGTTTTAGTCCAGTTTAGAGTCTGCAGAGTAGAAAGATGTTCCACCATCAGAAAGATGTTCCACCATCATGCAGAAAGATGTTCCACCATCATGTAGAAAGATGTTCCACCATCATGTAGAAAGATGTTCCATCATCAGATGTA